TAAAATTGACGGCGTCGGAGGCGGCCGCCGTCGAGAACCTCGCAGTGCTTCCTCGTCCGCTGGATTGCAAGCTCGTTCTGTCGCTTGCGAACTCAGCATACAGGGAGAGGGGCCTGGAGAGTGAGTATTTCGCCCTTTTTTAGATTATTAGGGTTTGTGAAAATCCTTTTTCTGATGTGCTTCGGTATGTTGTGTTTGTAGGCATAATGGGCAGGAATAAGTGGCGTGAGCTGAAGCACTGCTACAGCGTGACCGAGCTCGAGGTCCCTGAGCCTCCAGAAGAGGAGGTTTCCCCCTTGAAGGTCAACCGAAAAAGAAAGAGGGGCGATAAAGAGGTCGGGGGGAGCTCTGCTCCTCGCGGAATGGAGGAGGTGACCTCCAAGGATGCAGATGCCGATGCAGTCGATCTCACTGGGAGCCCTCCGCCTGGGGAGGTTCCCCCAGTGGCTGTTGCAGGGACTTCTGAGCAAGCTGTTCCCTCTGCTGAAGTAGGTGTTTCGTGCTTTAATTTATTTTCTATGTTGATTTGGCTTGGTTTGTTGAGGTGCTGTCTCTCTTTGCAGGCCGGGGTGGCTGCCGAGGTGGAGATCCTGTATGCTGAGCAGGTCGCCCAGGCTGCCAAGGTGAGGACTTCGCTTTTCGCTTTCCCCTCTATCTCGTATGTTTGATTCTTGTTTCTTGACATGAGGTCGGTTTTTGTAGGAAGGGGGCACTGTCGAGACCCCGGTGCCTCCGAGGTCGGAGATGCCAGACGTGGGCCCCCCTGTTGCCAAGCGGGGGACACCGGCTTCTGCTTCTGTTACGACTCGCGGCAAGGAGCCAAGTTTCGAGGTCCCTTCGGCTACGCCCGCAGCTTCTGCGCCATCGTCAGGGCCGTCACAGGGGGCTTCCCGGAGCCGATATATTGCTCACCATTTTGGGAAGGGTCGCTCTGATGTGCGCCCGGACCATGTGAGTGCCTCGGCCGACATGAACTCGTTGTGGAGCGCTGGGGTGACCGCCGAGAGATTCTTCCCCGAGGGTGCGCTGAGCTCGGAGGATCAGGGGATGATCGAGGAGGCCGGGCCTGTGGAAGGCTTTAACGCTGCTCAAGTCTTCCTTCAGAGGACTATGGCTATTGTGGGCCACTGGAAGCACAAGTGGTCCGAGCAGCAGGAGGATCTGGCCAGGCTGAAGGGCTGAGTTAAGCCCTTGAAGGAAGAAGCCAAGGCCCTAAGGGAGGGGAACAAAGCTTTAAAGGATGAGAACGGGGCCTTGGCAGGTGCTCTCGGGGAGGCTATGCTGCATAACGAGGCCGAGCTTCAAGCTACTCAGAGGGAGGTGGAGAGGCTTCGGAGGTCTTTGGAGATTTCCTGCGGTCGAGCGAGACCTATGCTACTCAGGTTCGCGACTTGCAGGAGCTCTCTAGTTCCTCCCGAGCTCGTGTGCGTGCTTTAGAGGATGAGGTCAATGCGCAGAAGGATGAGCTGGTGGCGGCGACCGAGAAACATCTCTGTGACGAGGTGCTTCTTGGCAGCCAAGTGGAGGAGAATGCCGCTTTGAGGGTGGACCTCGCGAAGTTGGAGGAGGCCAAAGCGGGGCTGGAGAGGAAACTCGAGGAGACCGAGCACTCTATTGTGGTAGAGCATAAGAGGGGTTTCCTCAAGGCCGCTCGCCAGGCCATGCTCCTTGCGCCGGGGTTTGACTTCTCCGCTATGCATGTGGAAAAGGTCGTCCGCTTCGGAAAGTTGGTAAGGGAGGATGATGTCGAGGACAGCTCCAGCGAGAATGCCTCTACGTAGGCCAATTTTTTAATGGCTTAGCTAAATTTCTTCTGCTTTATCTTTCTGTTTCCAATTCAAGTGTAGAACTCTGGAAACATCACTTGTATGTATGTATTTTTTGTCTACTTGTTATTGCGCTTTCTTTTACTTTTGCGTTAAAGCCTGAGTTTTCTTTTTTGCGCGTTTTGAGAGATACCCTCGGTGTCTATTGTATCTTTGTGAAGGTTCGAACTCGACCTCAGATTTTTTGTTAACTAATTCTTGCGAGGGTTCGAATTTGACCTTAAGTCGATCATGCTGAGGTCCTCGGAGTCTGGGGTGTAATGTGTTTCATCAAGGTTCGAACTCGACCCCGGGTAAGCGTGCTTAAGGTTCGTACTCGACCTTAAATTAGAGTAAAGTGGAATTTATTAAGGTTCAAACTCGACCTCGGGTAAGCGTGCTTAAGGTTCGTACTCGACCTTAAATTAGAGTAAAATGGAATTTATTAAGGTTCGAACTCGACCTCGGGTAAGCGTGCTTAAGGTTCGTACTCGACCTTAAATTAGAGTAAAATGGAATTTATTAAGGTTCGAACTCGACCTCGGGTAAGCGTGCTTAAGGTTCGTACTCGACCTTAAATTAGAGTAAAATGGAATTTATTAAGGTTCGAACTCGACCTCGGGTAAGCGTGCTTAAGGTTCGTACTCGACCTTAAATTAGAGTAAAATGGGATTTATTAAGGTTCGAACTCGACCTCGGGTAAGTGTGCTTAAGGTTCGTACTCGACCTTAAATTAGAGTAAAATGGAATTTATTAAGGTTCGAACTCGATCTCGGGTAGGCGTGCTTAAGCATAGAGCACCTTGTGGTAAAATGATGGAGATAAGAGATTGTGAATAGAAGAATGAGTTATTTTATTGTTGAATATATGTGCCTCGTTAAAAACCCTCTCAGCCAAAACCCATTTTTGGGATAAGAGACTGAGGTGGGAAAAGACTGCATAACTCGTTTATATAAAATTAGTTGAGATAGGACTGGGATGTGAAGAATTCTGGGTTCGCGGTGTTGGTTGTCCGTCGTGTTCTTTTAGTTGGGGGTTGCAAGCTTCTTGGTGGGTTTGAGCTTTGTCTTCGGGCTCGCCAGCGGGGCTTTGTCCTCCCCTACGGGGGTCGGTCCTTGGGCCGAGGTTAGTGACCCCCGCGGGGTTGTGGTGAGCCACGGTGGGGGGGTCCTGCTTGCTTTGCTCGCCAGACGAGGAGACCTTCAGACTCTCGGCATAGCACTGCCGAGATGTCTTTTGATTTCCTTTGACGGAGATGATCTTACCGTCGTTTCCTAGGAACTTCATGGTTAGGTGTGGAGTAGACACCACTACTCCGAGCTGATTCAACGTCGGCCTCCCAATGATGATGTTATAGGAGGTGTTGGCTTCCACAAGAAGGTATCGGACCATAATTCTCCTTGTGTCCGGAGAGGTTCTGAAGGTGGTCAGCAGGTCCAAGTATCCCCGTGTGTGTACTCGTTCTCCTGCAAAACCAACTAAGGGCTCTGTGTGAGGTTGGATGAGAGAGTGGGGGATGTCTAACCTGAGGAAGGTTGGCCAATATAGAACGTCGGCCGAACTTCCTTGGTCAATAAGTGTCTTCTGAACTTCCTAGTTGGCTACTTCTACGGCGATGACCATGGGGTCATCTTGATTGGGGCTGACGCCAGCGTAGTCCTCGTCGGAGAAAGAGATCGGAGGTGAGCTCTGATGCGATGCCGAGGTAGCGGAGTGGACACTGTTGATATTGCGCAGGTGTCTCTTCCAGGCCGAGCTGGTGGCACCTCCCCCTGCAAATCTGCCTGCAATAGTATTGATAACTCCCCGTAGGGGAGCTGATCCTGTCTCTTGGCCTATCTCGGCTTGCACTGCTCCACTGGCATTCTGTTGAGAACCAGAGGGTTGGTCCGTACGAGCCCCTGAACCACGGCCTCGGCCCCGTCCTCATTCGCCATAGCCTCCTCGGTGACCTTGCTGTCGCTGGACATGTTGGGCGAGGTGGCCTGCTTGGATGAGTTCTTCAATACGGTCTCGAAGTGAGCGGCACTCCTCGGTGGTGTGACCATGATTCCTATGGTACCGACAATGCTTGGATTTGTCGGCGCTGTTGGGGGTGTGCCCTGGCGGTGGTAGGGTGAGCAGATTGTTGTTACTGGCCTCCTCCAGGATATGTACCCTGGGCGTGTTCAGGGGAGTATAGAAGTCATATCTCCCCCCTCTATTCGTCTTAGCCGACTTCTTGAACTGGCTGTCATTATTGACTTTGACCTTGTCCTTGTGGCCACCGTCGGGTTTTACCTGTGATTTTCCGCGAACTTGGTCACGGAAAACAGAATGTTCCTCTATCTGAATGTACCCAGCGGCACGGGCACGGAGGTCGTCCATATCGCGAGGTACTTCACGACATAGGCTGTCGACGAACGGTCCGGGGTTGAGTGCCATGAGCATGGCGGGTAGGGCGACCTCGAGGTCTAGGTTCCTGATCTTTACCGAGGTGTTGGCGAATCGCTCCATGAACGCCCGGAGTGGCTCTTCGTTGTTCTGTTTGAGACTGGCTAGGGTGGCAGAGGTGATGTGGTGTGGTCGGCTCGTTGCATATTGTGCCGTGAACCGGCTGACCAGGGTGCCGAAGCTGTCAATGGACTCGGTTGGCAGCTGGGTGTACCAGTTGAGCGCGGCCCCTTTGAGCGAGGTTGGGAAAACCCTACACAGAATAGCATCATTGTTAGTGTAGAGGTTTACCTGTGTCGTATATAGGTCGATGTGCTCGTCTAGGTCTGTCGTGCCATCGTAGCGATCGAGGTGGAGAGGCTTCCACCCGTGAGGGAGTGGTGTCTCCATAATGCCATCTACGAAAGGGTGGCGGCGGAAGGTTGTCTGATCTCCTACGACATGAGTAGGAGCCCTGCTGTCTTCATGGGTCGGCTTGTGCGTTGGTGCATGAGACCGGTGTGAAGCAGGTCTGGGGGTTGGGCCCTTAGTTGCAGTCCAGGGCTGGGAGACTAAGTGTGTCTCTTGCCCGTGGAGGTTGCTCGCCTGAGGCTAAGGATCAGAGGGACGCCGAGGGAGTTGAGCGCGAATACGGTCATTCTCGGCGCGCAATGCCGCCAGGTCGGCTTCATTGGCGGTCCGCATTGCCGCTAGGTCAGTTTGATGCTTGGCGCGCATGTTGCGTAGATCGGCGTCGTGTTGTTGCCGCATCTGTTCGACCTGGTCGATCAGTCTCCTTAATGTGGCTTCGTTATCCATGGCAGTTGAATGTTCTGCGTCGTCTGTTACGCGTCCACTATGGCTTCTGGTGAATACCATGAGCATGGCAAATAAGAGCTTGTCTCGATCGGCCCCACGGTGGGCGCCAAATGTTCTTACCGGAAATCTGCTGTAGGGATGATCTGCCGAGTAAGATTGGTGAGCCTCCTTTGCTGGTACGTTGGTGTTCCAAGATAGGGGTGGTACCTGCAAAAGAGACTCCGATGCTAAAGTTAGGGTTTGTGTGAATATGAGTCTTGTATAAATAATGCACGTACCTTAGTGTGAGTTAGGGTTGCGTTGGGCCTTGGGCCTAAGATGAGATATGGTATGATTAGATAACAGATCTCATCTGGAGCGAGATCCCCTGAGATCGGTTATGATCTATTTAAGTGCCGATCTGGCGTCACGCGAAGCATGCCCGAGATCGTCTTATGTTGTGATGCCGAGCTGGGAGCTCGGCTCTAGAGTGTGGATAGTACAATACCTATATTAGTTTCCCACATATATATCTTGGTTGATCATGTTTAAGTATTATCGAATAATATCCGAATGCTAAAGATTGAACACTGTTGCTGAAATACATTTGAATGTGCCTTTCTTTCAAACAAAAAATAAATAAAAATAAAGTTTTTAAATTAATTCTATCATTATTTAAAAAAAGTTTCATTGCATTTTTCTATAATTTTATAAAATATATCTTAATTTTTATAATTAAAAATATTTTATTTTAATCTTTATACATACTGATTCTATTTCTTTTTAATTTCAATAATTTTATTTCTCTCACGAATCGTTGAAATAGACAACACAGATAAACAGAAAAAAAAACAGAGACACTAAAATCAAATAATTTTACATGTAAAGACTAAAAGAAAAAATCCATAAAATTAAAAAAGTAAAAAAAATTATAAAAAGCCTTGAGCTAATTTGTAATGTAAAATAAGAAATAGAAACTCATTTAATACAACTGCTAAGTTAGTCGAGTAATTAGATGTGAAGAGATTGAGATAGTTAAAAATATGAAAATTTAAATTCAATTTACGATTATCTTTGAAATCTTTCTTATTTTTATAAAAAAAAAAAAAATACACATTTGATGCGTAACCTAACAACAACAATCAAGCCCAGGAAAGGAAAGTGATGCAAAGATGACAAGAAGTTGAATTAACCAAATAAGAAGATTACAAAATGAGAGAAGAAGAATCGTAACCTGGTGAGTGGTGAGTGGTGACGGCGTACAACAGAACAGATCTTGGCTGCTAGGTTTGTGTGGCAAACGGAGATTCATATGATTTTCTATCAAAACTCAAAAACATTATTACCCAATGAATCATGAATACGGAAGTGGGCCATAATATTCATTACTAAAGACGCAGATGGTTTCTAGCGTGTGAAAGTGGATCATGTATCCCACCGTGGAATTGAAGACCTTTTTGCAATTGATAAAAGTCTTCAAATTTAACGGATTGGATTAACGTGGTAGCATCTGGTTATGATGGATTTATATGTTTCATATATGATCTAAGGATGACAATAGATTCCGTAAAGCACTGGTACACGTTCTGTTAAAAATTTATTTCTTACATGTATGATATATGTATGGATATTTATAAATATATATATATATATATATATATATATATATATATATATATTTGTAAATTATTTTAAAAATTAAAAAAATATTATAAATAATTTTAAATTTATATTTGATATAAAATATGTTAAAATATTAAAGATAAATAATTGATATTGTACTATCTCGAATATATTCCGAGATGTTTGTCACTGAGATCCTTAGAAGAGGTCGGACAAATGCCAAGATCTCTGTCATTGGGACCCTTAGAAGTGGTCAGATAAATTTCGAGACCCTTGTCACCAGGGACCACCTACAGTCATAGGACAACATTACGGATAGTAACGACCAAATCAGGAATAAAATGTTATCATTAATAACTCAATATCCCCAGTATAAAAACGACCATGAGAAATCTCGAGATTCGCGGGGAGGAGAGCCCGCGAAGCCCATCAAGAAGGAAATATAACAACGTGAACCCTAGGACAAGGGACAAATTACACTCTTGAATGCTCGAGCTTGGGAGATTTGACCTAGGAGAAGAACTCTAGACATCTCCTTGGCCGGAACATTTTGGCGCCCACCGTGGGGCTACGGAAAAACTTTTCCTACACCCCAAGGAACAAAACTCGAAAAAGAGGTCAGGAAGTTTAAGACAAATGGCAAGAGGTGGCGCGCCCAACCACGATGCACAACACCCTACTATGGAGGAGATGATGGCATTGATCAACTGTTTAAGAGAGGGAGGAGGCCATTCAACGGGAGAACGAAGAAATCAGACGACGGGCTGATGAGATGCAAGCCATAATAGCAGCCAATATCAGACCGGTGGAGGAAGATGTGATGACGGAAGTCCCAAGGGACTTTAGACCTTTCTCGGAGGCTATAGAGGCCGAGACCATCCCGAGGGACCACCAGGTTTCGCAGGTGGAACCTTTTGATGGAACCTAGGATCCCAGTCAACATTTAATTGATTTCCACGCTCAGATGTTGATCTGCGGAGGGAGCATGGAAATCTGTTGCAAACTATTCATGGGGACCCTTAAAAAGGCAGCTTTAGATTGGTTTAGCGGTCTTCCTGACCGATTAATCACTGACTTTGATGTCTTCAATCAGTTATTCATAGCACAATTCGTGGCGAATAAGAGGAAATCGCCGATCACGTCGGATTTGTTCGATCTTAAGCAACAACAAGAGGAGTCGTTGAAGGACTTTTTACAAAGGTTCAATGAAGTGGCTTTGAGAATAACATCCTTGGACGAGAAGATGGTGGTCATAGCTTTCCCAAAAGGGATTAAAGTCGGGCGATTTCGACGTCGCACTGGAAAAAGCAAATTGTCAATCGATGTCGGAGGTAAGAGCTTTCGCCCTGAGCCATATAAAAATAGAAGAAGGACAGATCAGTAAAAGAGAAGCAAAAAGCCGAGAGGTGTTAGTCGGAAATAAGGAGGACAATAAGCATCTTCGTGTACGCTTGGATTGGAGTAAACGAAGGGATCGTTATAACGCAAAGGAGGGAAATCATAGACAGACTGACTACGGAGGTCGGCAAAAAGGCGACTAGTCGCGAAATAATGAGCAGGAAAAATTTACTCCACTCAATGTTTCAAGGAGGCAGATATTATATGATGTAAATAGCGCGTCGCTCTTCGAATTTCCGACTGCAACCGATTTTCAATTAAGTCTTTTTAAAACCGACTGGTGTGAATTTCATAGAACTCATGGACACACTACCGAGAACTATTTTGTCTTGGGAAGGCAGATCGAGCGCTTGATTAAGGATGGACATTTAAAAATGTTTGTTGCAAAGAAAGATGAAGGAGACTCATCGGAGAGGAGACATAGACATGGAAGAGACAGCGAGAGAAGAGAAAGACACAAAGAAAGGTCTCCCCTTAAGGGCTCTTCAATGAAGGGGTCGAAAATTCATCAACAAGCTATCCACGGGTATTTCAACAGTTTCAGAGGCAAAACAACCAAAACAACCATCCAGACCAAGCATCACATTTTCAAATTCTAATTTTGAGGGGGTGTGCCCCCATGAGGACGACCCTATTGTCATTTCTATAATTGTTATGGGATACAACGTGAAATGCGTGCTGGTAGATTAGGGAAGTTCAGCTGATATTTTGTTTTGGGGGGCCTTTGTCAGAATAAAGATACCAACTGACCGACTTATACCTTATGCAAGAACTTTAGTAGGTTTCGCGGGCGATCAGGTGACGGCTAGGGGATATGTCGACTTGGAGACAACCTTTGGACGAGGCGCCCACATGAAGACAGTTACCGTCCGCTACTTGGTAGTGAACGCTCAATCATCCTATAGTATTTTGATTGGGCGACCCATATTGAACAAGTTGGGAGCCGTCTTCTCAACATTGCATCTAAAAGTAAAATACCCTTTACTCAATGGAGAGGTCATCGTCCTTCGAGTCGATCAAGAGGTCTCAAGGAAATGTTACGAGGATAGTTTGAAAGCGAGAAGATACCTGTATGCAGCGCAAGTAGAGCGGGAGGTTCAATCCATTGAGTTAGATCCGAGAGTGATCCATTTTAACACTCGTCCTACTCTAGCCGAAGATGTAAATCAGGTAAGCTTGATAGAGGCAAAAATGTTAAGATCGGGATTTCATTGACAAAAGATGATGAGGAGGAGCTGGTAGATGTATTAAGAAACAACATATCGGCTTTTGCATGGGGTGCTAATGACATTCCTAACATAGACCCCGATTTCCTATGTCATCGACTTATGGTAGATGCAAAAGCAAAGGTTGTAATCCAAAAAAGGCAAAAATTCAGAGAAGAGAAAAGGAGAGCTATAGTAGAGGAAACTATGAAGCTGGTGGCGGTAGATCATATCTGAGAAATTTAATACCCGATGTGGCTGGAAAATATGGTGATGGTACGAAAAAATAACGAAAAGTGGAGAATGTGCACAGACTTCACTGACTTGAATAAGGCTTTCCTGAAAGATTCGTACCCTTTGACCTACATAAACTACTTGGTAGATGGAGCATCGGGGTATGAGTTATTAAGTTTCATGGACGCATACTTAGGGTATAATCAGATCCGAATGCACCCCGCAGATGAAGTTAAAACAACATTCATAGCCGATCAAGCTAATTGATGGGCTTCTTCCTTCCATGGCTTGTGCTTTGGCTTCCAAGGAGAAGCTACCTCTTTCTCCACAGACTAGGAAGAAGGATGATGGCTGGAAGTTCTAATCAGATCCGAATGCACCCCGCAGATGAAGTTAAAACAACATTCATAGCCGATCAAGCTAATTGATGGGCTTCTTCCTTCCATGGCTTGTGCTTTGGCTTCCAAGGAGAAGCTACCTCTTTCTCCACAGACTAGGAAGAAGGATGATGGCTGGAAGTTCCTCAAGGGTGGTGGAAAAACAATATTGAAGAGGTGGAGGTCAAGGTGGGCGAAAATGGAGAAGAGAAGGTGGAAGAAGTTTATGGTGCTCTTGGCTAGCTCTCTCCACCAAGGGTTGATGGAGGCCACTGAAGGGAAACTCAAACTCTCTTTAGGGTAGAGAGGAGAAGAGGTTGGGCGTGAGGACCCTAGGATACTAAGGAAGGATTTTGAGGCACAAAGGCTCAATCAAAATGCATATATTCCAAAGTGGGTACAAGTGGGGGGACTAAAGTACTTATAGAGAGAGAAGAGAGCATCTAGGGTTTCTTGGGAGCATTTGGCCAAAAATTTCAAGCCCTTATGCACCCTAAATGAACTCTAGATGCAGCCCAAATGAAATGGGTCTCATCTCTCCAAAAAGTTTGAAGTACCCTTAGTCCTAGAAAATGAAAGAAATGGACTTTTGACCTCACAAGTCAAGGTTAAGCCCCTAAATAAATCCTAAGAGTAATTTTGCCCCATAATACAAAGGCTAAATAAAAATAAAAAATAAAATCTTAATATCTAATGTACCCCAAAATACAATGGCAAAATAGAAAAGGAAAGCAACAAGCTAAGGAGAGAGCCCCGTTGAGCTTAGGAGAGCTTAAAGAGTTTTGATGATCACA